ACGTTCAGGTTGACAATCCACGAGATATTCTCTCTCGCTTCGGGTGAAAATAGGCTGAGCTTTCGCACATTATATTATGGGCATTATTAAAGCTGAAAGTTATTCTTGTAAAAGTCTCAAGTTAACACTAGCTCAGGAAGACCATCCGACTCTATCTTATATAGATTCAACTAAAAACGAAAATGAATAAACAAAATTAGATATAGGACGGTTTGGTTAATTATATTTCATACTGGTAGAATTTCTTCTATCACATCACAGGTCACATGCGCAATTATGTTCGCATAAAGATAGGTTGAGTTTTATCGTGTTTAGGCTTGTGCTATTGTCTATTGTATGTATGTAATGCTAATGTCATGGGTAGTAGGATAGTCCTAGTTAAACACGAGGCTAATCCAGCCTCTTACTCAGTGGCTATTCCTGCACCCCCTACCTCTCTTCTTTAAGTCTATCCAACAGCCACAACAAGTTCATACTTTGTTTTCTACACTCGTTCCTCCTGTTCAGGACGTTGCCTGTTTTGTTAATTTCCATAGACATCATAATCTTACACTTTGACGTGAAGTTCTCGTAATCCACAAAACGTGTTTTTGACCAGTACACACAATGGACAATAGCACAAGCCCAGACATGATTCAGCATTAGGCGATCGTACATTAATTTTTGTGGGATGAAACAGCTGCTAGCGAACGCATTTTCGATTCGGGAAGTTAATTTCACTCATTTGCAAGGATGTAGAGTAAAGTTGAAGTACCCAACCAAATGAGGGGAGGTCTCATTAAGATTACGATGTTAGGGGTATAAAAAAGCGACTAGGACGCCTCTTGACTTTGTATATCTTTGTTGTATTTCGTAAAGTATGGAATTTTGCTCTCTCTGTCATAGTACAGGTCAAAGCTTAGCACAGTTTAATTTGGATCGCAGGAGCTTAGTACTTCGCACAATTCAAAAGTTTTCCTTGTGACAATCCTTCTTCGGTTTCCGGTGAGACCACATCACGAATTTCTTCCAACCAACTTTCCCTTCGAAGTGGATAGTCATGTCACAATATTTTATAAGGAATTCTTCGAAACCCAGTTTTTCTTCATATCTTATAAGTTAAATCTGACTCCATCATGAGGTCTTTTCTCATTTTATTTTAAGATTTTTCGAAACCTACTCATTTACCATTCTAGTCTTGTCATCGATCTTGTTAATGAAGTATTTATGGCCTACTTTACTTATTTTAATATTCCTTTCTGATTATAATTATGTACCTGTTCGAAACTGCTACTACTTGTTTTATCTAACTATGTTCTTCGGCAATCCCAAGCCTTCGAATTTTGCAACGATTGGATAGGTATTTCGACTTATTAGTTAAAAAACTCTATCTTTATGCTTTACCACCTTTTGAAACCATTAAAATGCCATTCCAATTTTTTTTTTTTTTATTTCAGTTTTTTTGATTACGTACTAGCTATAGTTTTAATCCCTGTTTATTATCTTTTAATAAGGGCCCTTGATTTTTTCGTTTTTATTTAGTACTTTGACTTGATTTTTTAACTTTATTCGATTTTAAACCGCTTCATATTTATTCGTTTCTATGTTTATCAGGAGAATTGGAACATAATCGTATCGCAGTTGATATGATACTCTCAAAAATCGCAGAGGATCTTCAGTCCACATCGTGCCCTAATCTTTCCTATTCAGATATCCAAGGCCCAGTGGCTAGTGCATATCCCACTGGTTCTCCTTATGCAGATCCATTGCAGACTCCTGGCGTAGCAGCTGCAGCGGCTGCGGCAGCCTGTCTCGCTGCCGCTGCTGCTACTGCCCAGCCACCTCCGCTTCCGCCCCCAGGCACCGCGTTGGTTCAACCCTGCTTCTCTGGATTTCAACCATCAGGACTCACTCTGGTTTCCCCCCTTCGGCCCAGTGACGGCTCATCCTCTTTTCCACCATCGATTCTAGAGACTCCTTTTCAGGCGCACTCTTGCTTGCCCGCTGGAATTCCAGGTGTTGGACCACTACCACTTCCCTGTCGTTCTACGAATTCCACTCTCACCAATCTTCCTCCCCTGGCCTCTATCGTGCCGTTCTCGGCTTCACTGTCTTCCGGACAGGTTGCACCACAATCTCCTCAATTGTCGCTACCGATGTCTATTTCCATTTCACAACCTTCATTAGCCAGCTTTGCGACTTCTCACAGGCCTAGCGAACGCTACCCTAGTGGAGGTAAATGCTTATCAATCTTTTCCTGCTCTATCCACTTATCATCGATAAGCCATAATTTGCTATTTTGTTTCCATTCTTGTTTTAGTTCCAAGCCTCTTCCCCATACTATAAAACATTTCAGCATAGTTTAAAATAATCCGGGAAATTCCTTTATAACCTTGAGACCTTTTGGATCGTAGATATGGAGACAATCGCTAAGGTTGAGAGTCAACAACAATTATGGAGCAACACACAAATTGCGAGGTTTGTATGCTTGAAACTCAAATTAAACGATAGGCTATCAAGCATAGCGATGCATTTACTAAAATTTCCCTAAGAATAAAAACATTGGATTTGGAGGAAAAAAGTATTGATAATTTTTAATGTAGATTCTATGTACACAAATGTCTCAGGTGGAAAGACATTAATAGCTTTGTTGGAAGTCTTGGACCAAGAAGTCGCACGCTGGAATACCACTCAATTTCCAGTGTTATCACAACTACAGACTAAATGAGGAGCACGATTATCAAAAGCCTACGATTAACGGATGTGGAAGAATTAAGCTTTTTGACTCGAGGGTGCCTCAGCAACAGATACCTGAGAGAAGTAATACAATGAATCATAGGGGATGTGGAAAGT